AAAAAAAAAAAAAAAAAAAAAAACATTCTCAAACGAGGAGGCTCCAGGAAATGAAAACGGAGCAAATTTAATTAAATCAATTACATTAGTGAATGAAGTAACTGGCGCGGCCGAATTTGCAACAGCTGCCGGTGACACAGCAGCGGTGGCCACCGTTCTTGAAGCCGAAATCAAGGGCGGAAGGTGGAAATTCAGACCCCTGAACTTGCTAAAGCTTCGCCTTCGCTGAGGACTCGGACAATCGAAGGTAGCAAAACACAGAGAGGCCGCTTCAGAATTGCAAGTGAAAGAAGAATGCCACGAAACCGGAGATAGAAGAGAGGAAAACGCCATTGGTAATGGATGTCGAAACCAGGCTTCGGCACCGAATACGACGTGACGACGATTTTCTACAATAGACGAACGATAACGATTTGTCGATACAGCGATCGTCTCCGAAGTCGCCGCTCGACAACACCCACTGCCACCGATTTTTTTCCGTCGTTTCCTCTCTTTCCTTTTTTTTTAATGGTAATTTATTGGTGAAGACAAAATATTTTGTTCCAAATGTTTCAAAAAAGAATGTTGATGCCATTGTTAATACATATAAAGTTCTAAAATAAGAAAGAATGTTGCATTTTTTAATTTTCAAATAATATTTCAAATTTTATCGTATAGACGGGAACAAAATATTCCTGACAATGGTGTAAAAACTTTTTAAAATCACGAGCAGACGACCATATATAACTAATTAAAGCAAACAATATCTACTGGAATACTATATTTTTCAAAAAATAAAAAATACAAAAATACAAAAATTACCCGAAAATCAGCCACGGGCTTACATGATCATGAATCAGCTTCCAACTTCCATATGCCAAATGCATTATTAAAATTCATAAAATGCTCAAAATTTATAAATCGAGTAATTTTCTCCACCGTACACGTGTACATCAAAATATTAATACTCTGATCTCAACGGCAGATTTTCTTTGGCCTAGCTAGCAATGTCCCACATCGTAATTGACTCTTCTCTGTCTAAGCTAGCATCAGCATCAAGCTTCCTATAATTATATTATAAACCAATCAATTATATAAAATTAATGGATAATTAATTAATATATATAATTAAAATTAAAATAAATAAATGAATGAACGAGTGATTTTACCTGCTAATATGGATTTGATTATTGTCCATGACGTCATCCTGGTTGATAATGAGCTCATAACTACAAATTAAATTAACATAATTTAATATAATTAAAATATTTATGAACCTTTGCTCTGTATTTATGATGTAATATATTCAGAATAAAAAAACTAATATTATTTGATAATATAAAATAATGGAAATTTGCATTTAATAAATAATTGTTAACTTACGGAAATCACATGTAGAGGTAGAATTAGTGGTCCCACACATGCACAACTGTCTATCACCATCGGTGCCATAGCCGCACGTGCCGCCGGTGGCTTGGCACGCTCGGCAAAAGTCCTCATTTGCTTGGACGGAATATTTCACACGGATCCCGTAGGCCCACTCATCAGGCCCATTAATTCTCAACGGGGCCAAACTATAAGCACTGCTATAGCCTTCACACTGGAGCTTCGTGAGATTTATGGCCTTAATGGACCCAAAAGGAATCGCGCAGCACTCTGGTGGGCCGGACCCGTAAACCCGATCGGGTTGTCGATGGCCCAGTAAATCCCACGCCGGACAGTCGTAATACTCCTCGCAGCTCATACCGGAAATGTTTCTACAGACGAGATGCTTGTTTGGGAATCCTTGGAAGAGCGGCGATTGGGCGGAGCAACCGATGAGGAGAAAGGCGTTATCGGACGTCGGATTTAGGTACGGTGACCGCCACTCTTCGACGTCGAAGCCGTTGCCTCGACCGCCGAGGACGATTGTGTCGCAGGTCGACATGTGAGGGTCGTGGAGAGTTAGGGATTCGTAAGCGTAATCGATGTCCAAGACTCTGTAGGATCCGGATCGGATGTGGAACATTAGAACATCGTTCATGCAGTACAGAAGGTCGCGGTAGCCAGGATGGCCGCAGCCGTTCTGGAGGGAGAAAGGATAGTTGACGGTGATGTTGCCGCAGAAGGACCGGCAGGCGTTGGAGTGAATGTTGGTTGTGGAACTGAATAGTGGAAGAGATGAGAGGATGAGAGAGAAGAGGAGAGTGGTTGTGGACATGGTTGAAGGAGATGAAGGAGGAGGAGTGAGTGAGAATTGAGCTTGACGGAGGAGGGATTTGGTTTGGGCGAATTGATACTTTGCTTGAGATGGTGTAGAGATTGCGCTCGGGTTTAAGGGGATGATTAGGGCTACTTTTTTCAGAAGAGTAATGTTGAAGAAATTGGATTGAATCTGTGACTTCGAATCCATTTTGCTTCTTGCTTTTTCTTGAGGTATGATTTGTTTTCATGTTTGTTAGTTGAATGTTTTGATTTTCTTCAGCTTTTTGTGAAATCCTGCTAGCTTTAGCTCTCTCTCATCGCCAACAATTTCTTTTTTTCTTCAAATGCCCCATTGAGCGGGAGATTCCCAGCCGAAAGCAGAAGCTTCCAGTTCTATATTCTTCATTTCTTTTTTGGAAAACCAATTTTTACCTTGAATTTAGCTATCCGAGAAGAATGAAATTGCAAGAACTTTCTCTATAATTTTTCAATTTCATCAAAGTAGGTTAAATTATTATTATAAATTTTCTCCATGTGTTCTTATTTCTATCACCTGACTTAATCCAATTATTTTCTGCTAGGGTTTGGTTAATTACACTAATAATGTAATTATAAAAAAAAATAGCCAAAAAAAAAAAAAAAAAAAAAAAAAAAA